TCTTTCCTCCTTAAAGCAGCCTTCCTCTTATTTTAGAATGCAGTAGGAACATTTTGTTATTAATTACACTTTACCAAATGAACTTCACTTAAAGCTTAATTAAAACTGTGGAAGCTGATTTATATTAATGTAGTCTTGGAAACACAGCTGAATTAGGAGTTGCATGTGAGTAGCTGGTCACAGAATTGAAAATATCTATTCCCATTGTTTGTTTTTTTTTAAAGAACATTTGAGGAATTTGTATGCTGGTTTTGGTGCAGCTCTGTCTATATGACAATGGCCAAACAGTGTTCTCATTCCTAATTCTGTAGCTACTCAGAACCCTTTTTATCCTCAGAGCTGATATTCCTAAATTGGGAGCAGTTATCGGCCAACTGAGAGACAAGGAAAGAAATGAGATCTTATGTCTTATCAAATGGCAGTGTTCCTTGTCAGTTTTCCCCAGCTTCTGTTGTCAGGTGCCTGTACATCTCTCTCCCATGGAGAGTTAGACTGTGAATTTAGCATTAGAACATGATTGGAATTGCTGAGTGTGATTAAAAGGTCATGTCTGAATTATAGCAAAAATCCAATAGGCCATTCATTTTAAAGCTGAGGAATCTTTCATACATCAGTTAAAACACATATTTTGTCCCATTGTCACAGAAGGAATGAAAAAGAGAGTGAGGACATTAAATCCAGACATCTGCAGAACGGCCATCAGGTGGCTCTGGATCTCAGCAGTATCATGGACAGAGGATTAATTCAGACATGTTTTCATACCCTGGACCCCCCTCCTAGTTCTGATTATCTATATTGTTACAAATACAATTTTTCTGGTGCAGGATGAGGGATTATTTTTTATATCCATGAAATTACGGTGGTTTTTTTATACACCTTGCTCATAGCAAATAACTGGCAAACTTTTAAAGACCTGTTGCTGGAGCTTAATATTTAAAGCAGATTGCACTGATGTGGCGGTTTTATCTGCAGCGTTACTAACCTAGAAGGCTGAATGTTGAGCTTGTTAACGCTTTGGTGGCAATCACAACCCCCTGATTTGGAGATCCTAAAACCCCTGGAGCGGAATATCTGCCATCTGCTGGCCAAGGGGGAAAGCACTGGTTAAACACTGCTGGTGCTCCAGCATCATTCCAGCAACGGGAGAAACTGGTAGTTCTGCAGAGCCCTTCAGCGGCACTATCTGAAAAAGGCCTGGTCAGTACTTTTCTGACAGCATGTTTTTCCATCGGAAAGCGTTGTTTTCTTATAATTAAAACTTTCTGTGGGAATGCATCAGTGAAGAATAGAAATGTTCCCTTCTAAAAATATCAGAACATTCTGTTTAAAAATTTTTAGACCAGAACACTTTGATTTTTATTCCAGAACAATTTTATTTTTTTTAAATAATAATTTTTGTACATTATAAAAACAAGAAGTCAAAACTGAAGTTGACATTTTAAACATTAATGAAATCTCACATCATCACTATGGCATACAGTGACTGCAAGGCAGTCATGAATCCAGGAGCCTTGGCATTTATTACCCTGTGCTGACCACTTTACTGCTTGTGGTCATGTATGTGTGCTCTGTAGTGAGAACATGTCAAGAGTGAGACCATCTTTTCATTCAGATGACGGAGATCAGAGATGGGAAGAAAACTTTGTTTTTCTTATCTTTGCATCTTTATTTATTTTTCTGTAGTTTTGTATGAATTGTTTAAATTGGCACAGTTGTTTAAAAAAAAAAAAAGTGTTTTGAGCTAAAACTCCTTTTAATAATACAGCATACACAAAGAGTTCTCAGTTATAGCCAAGATCATACCAGCCACTATTCAGAAAAAAAGAAAAGAAGCAAACAACTAAAGATAACTCTCAAGGCTTTCCTTTGCCTAGCGTAAGTTTAGTGCTTGTCATGTGCTAAAAAGAAAAGCTAGGCTTTGTATTTATCCTGCAAAGAAAGGAATGAAAGAGAAAAAAAAAAAAAGCAGGACTTGTTTAGTGATAGATCCAGGAGTTTTTATTTTTATATCTTTCCTTAAAAAGGGTCTCTGGCTAAGCTGTATAACTTCTTAAAGATTGGTAACTTTGCTTTCATAAAGAAAGGGAGTACAGTCATTCTTATTATATATCACCAGTCATGACAGATCTGTCTATCTATCTAATATTTGCCTTTATGGCAACCAATTACACTGTGTTAAAAATGTTTAGATGCAGATAACCAGGCTGAATTTATACATATAGGAACAGTTTCTAATGTTGGACTTCATGACTTTCAAAATACAATAGTAATCTATCTTTTAATGCAATTAGAAAAAAAAATGATGGAAAAGAAATTGGCCATGCAAACCCGTGGTGGTTCCCCCTCAGCATGGCTTAGCAGAGGGCTTGGTCCCTTTCCTCACCGTGCAGGCACCCGCCGTGCGGGCTGGAGCTGTGACAGGGTGCAGAAGGCTGCTCAGCTCTGTAGGAGCCGGGGCTGGAGAGGGGAGGTGTGCCCACACTGCCAGGGAATGTGTGGATGCAGGAAGCATGAGTTCAGTTCTGAGATCTGTAAGGGACTGTCCTGTTGTGACTGAGGAGACCCTCTGTGGGATAACGGCCCAGCTTGCCGTGAGGCAGGAATATGGCTAGTTTAGTGCACTCTGGGAGAAAGGTCAAGATGCTTGTGACCATGAGATTCTTGTGCTGTCTCTGGGGGTGGAGATCCACTGAGCTGGCATGCCAGGCGGCTGAAGGAGAGAGTCTTGTAGATAAGACAGTCCTGTTTCAGCTAAACCAACAAAAGCAAACAGCTCAGGCGTAGATTTTGAAAGCTAGAGTGTCCAAGTGAAGACCTTTGCCTTTTTAACAGCAAAATTAATACTACAGTGTACACCCCTAAATATGGACAGGGATCAGGATGTAAAAAATCTCGATGGGAATGCACCTCAGGCTGTGGGGGGAGAAGACTGAAAGTCTAGCAGAGACATTTGATGGGCTGTACTCCCCTTCCTCCATCCAAGACAGGGATGCCTTCGTGGTCAGAGTTGTGCCTTCACTATTCAGTGGTCCTCTCCTAGCATTACTGTTACCTAGCAGTGCTATTGCAGAGGGCTGTGCCTCTGACTGTTGGGTGTTACGTGGGAAGTACCAGCTTGAGTTCAATTTTCCTTTTTGCACTTAGTGCATTTATCAATGGCTATTCTGAACCTGTTGTATCTGTTGCTTTTACTTCCCCTTTCCAGTTCCTCTTGGTTTTGCTCCTTGGCCATGCTACCTTCACCCACTTCTCCTTCCCATTCACTCTCTTTCTATTTTTGCCACTAAGTTGCTGCTTTCTTTTGTTCTTTTCACCCTGTCTGTATCATTCCACCCTGCCTTTGTCCTTTCTGCTTCTGTGGTTTCTGACCTTTCCTTGTAGCTATCTTCTCTTTCAGGATCCTTCTGGACCTTTTGTGCCACGACCTTCAGGTCTTGTTGATCCATCTGTTTTGCATTCTCTAAGTAGTCTTCATCTATCTAGTTCTTCCTCGCCAGTGAGGTGATGGAAATGGAAGCACAGAACACAAAGAAGGACACATTGCCAGCCGTTGAGTATATAGGCTTGATGCTACAGCAGTCCCAGCAGCTAGGATGAACAGCTTCAGAGAATATCCTCGCTGTCTCTGCAGCTGTGTTGGAGAACACTTAAACTGTGGTTTCAATCAATGTGATCGTTTACAACAAAATTGGTGAAGTGTTACAATTGATAGCACCCTACACTTTAGACAAACTTTTAAAAGTCCAAGTAGTGGTTCAGATAGGTGAACTGATCTGGCATTAAAGTATTTATTTATTGCTGGATGTTTTTTCAGCTGAAGAAGTTATTTGATCTATGCAGAGGGAAAATGTATTTGAATTTGCTAGCAATATTTAGTGCTTTTTAGCTAAGGTACCCCACCAAAACATCAACCTTTGGAAGATATCCAGAATAGAAAATTCAGTCCAGTCTCTGAATTATGTACAACCTAATAATGGAAGAAGGCAAACAGATTTTAGGTAACTCAAGTGTTTGCAGTTTTGTCATCTAATCTCTAATACTCGTGCACCTCTGCCACATGAAAATATGTCAGTCAGCCGTTAACATGTAGTTAACATAATATGCACAGGGAATAATAAAGCTACTTCATTTAGGATTCTCTTGGCTGTCCCTATTATCTCATTCAACAGAACAGCGTTCTAGAGATAGACTGGTGGTAAATATTTATTTGTTTAGGGAAATTGACAGGTAAAACAGGATCCTTTATTTTATTTTGATCTTTAAAAGAGTCACTCCAGTAGATTAGAGAAATATGTCTCAGATATCTAAGAAAGACATCCTTACTCTATATTGGCTTCCTCTTATGTATGATTCTATGATTCTATGATTCTTCATGTAATCTGAAAAATTCTTTGTGCCATTGTTTTAAACACAATAAAGTGAGATTTGATGCGGTGATTCGCTTTGTGCATATAGCACCTTCAGGCAGATGAGATGCAGTTTTCATTTCTGCAGCAGAAGAATACTGACTTGCTCAGTCCCTTTACCAGACTGGTTCTGAATCATTGGTGCCACTGACTGAATTACCTTTGCAAATATATGCAAATACAGAGAATTGCCATGTGGTCTTAGGTGCCCAGAAGTGCTGGTGATCTCCTTGAGTATCTTAGCTAACAGAATAGGAGCTTTTGCCTCTTCACATTTTACACACTTCAAAAGGCAGTATTTTTCTGATATTTCTATGTATAATTTCTGAAAAAGGATCCTGCAATGATCGAATTATAGTAAAGCATCTGAAAGATCAAAGTCTTCATTTGGGGGAGATGTTGAGTCTTCTGGTGCTGGATCAACATCTTCTGCTGTGGAGGGCAGGAGATCCTCATTCGTGAATTCTCTGGGAAAGCTGGGAGGAGCTGGAAGGTTCGTGATTGGTTTCCATGATTTTCCAGGGCATCTAGCGAGAGGAGGTCCTGGGCGATCTGGCAACCCATTAAATAAAGAAGTATCAGGAAGAATTAGTGATTCTGCAAGTGTACTGGTTTCTACTCTTGCAACCCCTGGATTAACTAGTTCTGATACTGTTTCACCACTGGATGGTGGGAGAGTTTGGTTTTGATTAAAAACCTTTTCATTTGACTCTTCAGAAGATTTAGGGTTTAGATGCTTATATTTACCCGTTTTACTGTGTTTTTTATGCCCACACCCATGGCCAGTGCTGTGCCCACAACCAGTTTCATGCTTATGCCTTTTGACAGACTCATGGTCCTTTTTATATCCATGCCTGAGCTTATGCCTGTGTTTGTGCCCATGCTTATGCCTGTGTTTGTGCTCGGGTTCACCTTCACCTTCTGGTTCCTGTCCAACATCTTTTCTCATTTCTTTTCCAGGACTTTGCCTTTCTTCTTCATTTTTATCAAAACATAAAATTTCCTTTGGCCCATCTAGCGCAGCAAAGCTTCGGAAAGGTGTGAATCCAGGAGGCCTTCTTAGAAGTATAGACTAAAAAACATTGCAATAATAGCCATATTTGTTATGTGAACAAGAACAATAGCTTCAAATTTGGGAAATTCAGATGGTTCATTGCAGTGCATGAGTCATTTAGCAGAATGTGTTCTCAGATTTTTAAAGTAAACTAAATAATTGTCTTTTGTGGTAAGCATGGAAACATAAACGTCCTCCTAAATAACTCCAGAGTATTTCAGAAGTTATATGTTAAAAGACCATTTATATATCACTGAAATTCTACCAGTTTAACATGGGAATGATACTATAGAGAGGAAAATGGGTACTGGTTTTAATTTATGAACAATGGAGTTGATATCTAGGACTACATGTCCCTGTGCTTGTTAGAGTGTAACACTCCAATGTATAAAACCAGTTTATGCTAAAGGCTAACACATCTCTGAGTAGTTTCAATACCAGAATATACAAAAGATTGTCTTACATCTATATACATACGCATATATGTATACAAATATACAAAAGGGATCATCTCGTTACATGATAGGTAACAAATGATTTTTGTTTCTAGATCTGACAAATGTATCTCATTAGAAATAACACATGTAGATTAAAGCTGGTAATATGAAACGTTCTTGAATGATCTCCATTTCCCCATCACTGTTCAACTGGAAAACAAAGACTGAGTGTATGGTGTACAGCCACTATCCTATATGGGTTTCATCTCTGTCTGCCAGTGTCTGATCATTCTGTAGCTACAAGTCACAGTTGTTTGGGATGGGGCTAAATTTGAAAGTTGATGTGGATACAATATTGTAGTGATAACAAAGAGGAGAGACATCTATTAGTGGATACAAAATAATAGATAGTTGTGAAAGTGCTGAGCACAGTGAAGTTATTGATTATGAATGCAAGTCAATCTCATGTTATTCAGTGTATCTTGTCTTCTTCGCTGTTGAACGTAAGAGTCCCTCCCTTTATTAAAAACCATGCAATCACCAGAACTAAAAAAGTTCCGATAATGAAAAAGATTTAAATTCCATTCTGTTCATATATTTAATTAGAGGGTGAGCGGGAGGAGTGTGGCATTACTGAGGTTGTTGAAAGAACTGTGCTTCTTTGGTTTTGGTACAAAACTTGGGATAATTTGGAATGGACAAAGAATTTGATGACTGCCTTTGTTCTGTGCTCTGCTTAGGATGATGGATAATGAAGAAGAATCATACCATTGCCCGTTCTTGAGAGCAGTTAACCTGGGGAAAGATTTTATTCTCCCATGGGATCACGTGAATTTGTGCTTCACATGGCACTGATACCTGTTGACAAAACAAAAATCAACATGTAAAGGCAACAAAACATCAGACACAAAGGAAGAGAGTTGTGCATGAAAAAAAATAAGAATACTTTTAAATACAAATATACTTGGAACTTTATCCAAACATCTATGAAATCCCTCTCAGTGATGTAGCCTTCTGTACTGGAATACATCATTGCTTAGATTTTGAGGTTATAGTATGCCTGTGTGAACACTTCAAATCTGAATTGGAGAATGGATCTTGAAAAAAATGGATTTTTCGTCTCCATCACTTTTGAAGCACTAAGTGTTTAATCTTCATGATATTCCTAAGAAATATTGTTTGTTGATGTCATTTCTCCTACTACAAATTGGGAAACTGAGATAGAGAAAGGCAAGATTTATTTTTTTTTTTCTATTTAGTGCCTGCTGCACTAACAGATTTTAAAATCTCACAGGTAAGCATGGTGCATACAGTTGGAAAAGAAAGGGAGAATAAAGCCTCTCTTTCCCAGATCCCTTGTCAATGGTTTCTGGCCCTGTTAGCATTATTTCCAGTGTCTAGAACACATTTTCCCACAATCAGCAGCATGCACTCCAGAAACACCATTCCTTTGTACACCAGTAACTCTCCAATCTCGTGTTTTTCTTAGCTGCAGGTCTGAGTCGGGAGTATTGCAGACATTTCATTTTGCAGCAGCCTCCTCCCATCCTTTCTTTGATTCATTATTATCAGAAGGAAATTCCTTTTACTTTGCAGTGAGCACTGATCCTGCAGTTGGAGTGACTCAGTTTCAGCCTCATGTTTTACTGCCATTGTCACTGGCTTAGGTTACAAACAGTAAAAGGTGTCCTTCTTCTTGAAACAAAAGTTCACGAAAGAGGGAACAGAACTCAGGTTGTGAGTTTACCGAAGAGTTTACAATTTCTGCTGCAAATGATTTTGTCCATTAGGAACATTACAGTTGGCAATGTCATCATTACTTACACTTTCTGGTGTGGCTTCACAGTATTCATTAAGTGTTTCAAACTCTTCCTTTGAGCAGTTTGTCTTCCGGATTGAAAATGTTAAGTGGTAGTTTTGTCCTGCAAACACCTGAAAAATTATTAAGAAGGCTGTCTGTGGTAAAGGCATTTTATTGAAGAGGGTTCACAGGAAAGATGTTTTTCTACAAGCTTATACTACTTATATTCTACACGTCCTAACCACTGGGACAACATATGTTAAGAACACTATTCAAATATCTCGCAGCAAACCTATCTGCTTCCAATCAATTTACTTATTTACTCCAGTTCCCATTCTCAAAAATTCCAGCAATCGAAACTGAAGGAAGCAGAAAGGTCAGAATAATACCAGGGCCAGAGTTTTGGCTTTGCTTTATTGGATGCCTGTAGTAATTTCATTAATAACAAATAAAATCATTAGAGACACTACTGTAGAGAGCCAAATATGATGTAAGAAAAGTGGAATGTGAGTAAAATGAAGTATGTGATGAACAGGTTTGGTTGAAAATGAAGATATTTTCCAAATGCATTAAGGAGAGAGACTTCATCAGTTCAAGAATGTGCCTGGTACAAGTTCTCTTAGTATTTTTTTACAGAGCCCAAGATAATATATCTTGCTTCAGAGACAGCAGGCAAAACTTGAAATTCTATCTTTTTTAAGTCTATTTTTAAAACATATGCATGTTAATATCAATCATGATATGAAAAGTTTGAAAGAAGGAAAAGCATAGATATAATTAGTAAGATAAATGTGAGCTACTCTGAAAAACTCTTGGTGTGCTTTTTGTGCCTTCTCCAGTGGTACCTCTCATGCTCAAGAGAAGCTGTTGATAAAGTATTTTTCTGACCTGCTCCACTGTCTTATTTTCAATTCCATCCTAAACCTCTGTTTTGATCTGTTGGGACACTGAACAAGGCAAATGAAAATGCTGACCAATATTATCCTCTTGATTCCTTCCTTTTTTAAATTCTTGTATCTTAAGTTATGCACAGATGTTCTCTAGCGAACCTGGAATCAGTATGTAAGTTAACATATTTCTAAGGGTAATAGGGAAGCCCTATTTCTTGGAGGTTACAGCCACACCAGGGTGGACAGTGCTTAAAATAATGTACAGAGTATTGGTGTGGTGGATCAGGTGGGTTGTTTCAACTTTTCTATTTTAAAAGTCTAAGATACGCTACAAAGGCTGGTAAGGAGTGGGGTAGATATACAGAAATCAGATACTCTAAGTCAACCTTTTCCCCATGGCTTTTAAAACTGTCTTGTTTTAAGAAAAATTATAAAGTCAAGAGATGGGAGATATTTAAGTAACTTCTGAATCCAATCCAAGTTCGACAAATTACATGGATATTTCAGTTGCCACATGTGTCAATACTTAGAGAAGAGCGTTATTTCAAATCCAAATCCAGATTTTAGCTAACATTCGGCTCAGACCCATAACACAGCCATGTCTGTCCCTCATCTCTGTGGTGTATCCCAACCTGAACTTCTGCTGTTCTTATTTGTCCAGCTTTATAGTGGAAATCATCATTGCTCTCCGAATTATACTTCTCCATAGAAACCTTCAGTAGTTCCTTCAGTTCTGGACTGTCTTTTGGGACAGTCTTTGGACAACCAGAGCGAGTGGCCGGAATTACCGTGTCATCAACTGAAAGAAACCAACAGATTTCAGATCTAGGGAATAAAAGATTCAACATAGATAAAGGCTGGGAAAAACAGTTATAAACCTGCCTTCTGAAGCACTTTGTATTTGGGCCTATAAAATGAAACCAAAATATCTTTAGGTTGTATATGTTCAGCATTATCAGAACTCGGTTATCTAAAAGAGCAACGCTTGAGCATTTAGTGTCCCATTGGACACTGAGCAGCAGTTTTCCCATAGAAACAAGAATTGTCTGTACCTATTGCGGGTAGCTAGCAAATAAAGAGGGAACATCTACACATATGGAAGGACCTGAATGAGGTGAAACAGGAGGTGCCTGTTATTGGCAGTGAATGAGTGTCTTGAAGAATATCATTATCATTTTTTGAAGAAAACCAAATCTGAATGGGTGAGAATGCAGCATTTAGTACATGGAGTAATACTGTACTCCCTGTTTTAAAGCTCTGAAGCTGTGGCAATCTGTGTCCAAATAGATGACTGGATGA